GATGGGTAGGAGGAGCTTAATGGGTAAATCGGAGCTGACTCCAGTGCTGAAGAGAACCTGACAGGAACCGCCAGAGGGGACACTGGAAACCACACCTATCAATCATAATTATTAATAGTTATTAATGAATGGCTTTGGTCATTAAGAAATTGTACATTTTAGTGCATGTGTCAGTGTGTGTTTTACTACAATTTTTATTACATTTTCTGATACATATTGATGTACTTAGGGTATGTGGAAAGTTTGAGTTGATTCCGACTTCAAATTTTAAAGTTATGACCATTTTTTAAAATCGGCCAAATTCTAAAAAATTCCCTGTACTATAGCCCATGGTTTTTTTCAAAAAATGGCTCCGAAATCACTCCAAATTTTTATTACATTTTCTGATACATATTGATGTACTTAGGGTATGTGGAAAGTTTGAGTCGATTCCGACTTAAAATTTTTAAGTTACGGCCATTTTTAAAAATCGGCCAAATTCTAAAAAATTCCCTGTACTATAGCCCATGGTTTTTTCCAAAAAATGGCTCTGAAATCACCCCCCATTTTTATTACATTTTCTGATACATATTGATGTACTTATGCTATGTAGAAAGTTTGAGCCAATTCCTATTTTAAATTTCCAAGTTATGGCCAATTTAAAAAATGGCGAGTTTCTAAAAAATCCCTGTACTATAGCCCATGCTTTTTTCCAAAAAATGAAACAAGTAAAATAAACAATTACTATTATCATTATTACCAGGGTAATACAGCCCATCAGTTGGGTCTGGTCCTATAACATGATGTCCTCTTTTAATGCTCCTACCATACTCATTAGATAGACTTGTCTAAAAAATTAAAAAAATTATATTAACAACATACACAAATCTACCAAAAACAAAGTCATTTTAATTTATTATTATTATAGTACTTTAACAGGTGATCCGATTGATGTATTAATGGTCCTCTCTCCTCCATTTAGATCAGATATAGTAGGAGCAGTCCCTGAGCTATTATCACTGACTGATGAAGACAGTGACACATCTGACGACCACTTCTTACTCTTCCTCTTACCGGAGCACTCCTCTTTCAGAGCAGCTGCTTGACTCATGAGCACATGAGCCTTTTTAATCTCCGCCTCGACCTTATCCAGCTCCAATAAAAGTGAGCCACACCCAGCATCTCTTAGCCCCTCCCTCAACTCCTCCCTGTGCTCCTTATACTGGATACGCTCAGAGCCTTCAAGCCCGACCTTCTCTTTAATGCCCTGTAGCTTGACTTGTGGCAGGCTCTCTGCAACGACCCTCTCCATCACTCCTTCACACTCTTCAATATACTGTGTTAGTTTAGACTCGTACGAGACTAGATCAACCCCCGAGGGGTTGACGAGGGTGATGTTCCCTTTTCCTGATATGTGGGCGGTTGAGAGTAGCCCCTCGTACACTTTCCCGTGGACTTTCTTGTCCAATATGGGGACGTGTTTGGGATTGTGGGGGACGGCTGTGGGTCCCAGGGCGTCCATTAGGAGGAGGTTGCGACGAGAGAGACTGTTCTTTTTTATCCATTTTGAAAAAGAGACAAAATTATCACTTGTGGATCTTTAATAAATAAAGAAATAAATAATAAAATAAAATAAATAATAACAACATTTGATGTAATGTTGTAACTTACAATCTTTTAGGTTTCTTCCTCCTTGGGATAGGATAAGTATATCTGTGACCTGAAATAAAAATAAAATATTTGTTAACTTAATATAATAATAATTATTGTTGCTGTTGCTATTATCATAAGATCCAGATACATGTATATTATTATTCCTCTATTACCAGGATGCTTTAATCTGTTGCAAGCTTCCCTTAGCTGCTGTGCTTGGGTCAACTGATCATGGGCGTGGCTAATCTCATCGCTTAGCAACTGAAGGTCATCACTCTGATGGGTTACTGGACCCTTGGGATCAGTAATATCCTCAGAATAATAGTGATACCTGAAAACAAATTAAATTAAAAATATAAGAAATTGTTTATTTATTTTAGCTTGTCAAAAAATGAATGCTACTATTACTATTAACACTACTAATTATTATTATTATTATTATTATTATTATTATTATTATTATTATTAACAAAAAGAAAAGAAACACTTAGGTATAGTATTAGTAGTATAATAATATTGATAGTTGGTAATTACAATGATTTCCTTTTACCTTCCTCCAGTGACTGATGCTAGTCGAAATAAGAACTGGTTGGCTTTGCTGTCAGCACAGTTGAATGATATGGAGTGAATGGGAATACGCCTCAACTGCTGTATCTGGGACAAGATTAGATCTGGTGGCTGGTCAGGCCTATTTGAAATAACAAAATAATAATAATAATAATAATAATAATAATAATAATAATAATAATAATAATAATAATAATAATAATAAATACATTAGTAACTCTATCAATTGTCACACTAAAATGACCATTTTATGCCTTTTTTCTCATTCCATTTTTATCATCATCCTAAATTGCTATGGGCAAGTGTAATAATAACAAAATTTTAGCAAGTAACATGATAATTGGCTTGAAATTTGAACACTATAACACACTGGCGGATCTAAAAAAATTAAAAGGGGGTTCCATTTCACTCAAGTAGGTGTAGCTCATTAATTTTAATTAATAAAATGGAGGAAAAGTGCTGCAAAGAACTGCAAAAAGACATTTTCTGCCAAAGGAGGATTCCATGGAACCCCCTGGATCCTCCACTGTATAAAGCCCAACATACACTGAGCAACTTTGTTGCTGGCAACTTGTGGTCAGACCTTTGATATGGTTGAGCAACACTGGGTAACATGTTGCAGAAAGTAAAGAGACTCTCAACTTCTGGCAACAAGTTGCCTCACCACATCAAAGGTACTGGCAACAAAGTTGCTCAGTCTATGTTGGGCTTAAAGTTTGACAGGTATGACTATGGACATGGCTAAGCCAAAAAAAAAGTTAAAATAGTGTAGGGTCTGTGAAGACCCTTCCAAAAATTTTTTTTGTAAAGATAATACACATCTCACTAGAAGAAGTAGCAATGAAGACATTTCATGAGGTTTTATACTCAGATAATTGTGAAAGTCTCTCGTGGGTTGGATGCCATTGTGGTTAACACTTCCTGTGCTTGTATAAACTGTCAACTAACCACACGTAAAATAACTGAGACAATCTATACCAAGAGTGGATAATTATTATACATGTGCAGCGATTTTCCCCCTTTGCATGATAGGCAAGCAGAAATGTGTTATGCACATGCTCTGTTGTGGTCAGGAATTAAATGGATGCACCTACTTAATACTGACCACAACAGAGAATGTCCATAACACATTTCTGCTGTGCATGTATTTTTAATACAACTTCAATACCTTCCATCAGTGAGGAAATAAACAGCCTCAGCTCCACTGATACTCAATGCTTCCTGCAGAGCTTCCAGAGTATTAGTACTACCTGACACGCCCATCCCATCTATCCACTCTCGTGCTGCCGATATGTTTTGGGGTGTGGTCGGGACGAGATGGTCCCTCCACTTGATGACGTCCGTGCTGAACTGGATAAGATTGAAAGACGTTTTGTGTAGGATCTGCTCTCGTAGCAGCTGGCGGAGTTTTCTTTTAATGAGACTGAAACGACCTTCAAGAGAACTGGAGGTATCAACAACAACAACAATCTAAAAGAGAGAGGAGAGAAGGAGATATAAAAAGTCAGTAAAATAAAAATAAATAAAGAAATAAATAGAAAATGTTATTATACAAGACATTAAGTGCTGGAGGGAGTCTGTCACTCCTATTATTAATTCATTAAAAGTTACTTTATTTTCAAGGACAGTTCCAAATAGTTCTCTGCTGTCTTTCTTCAACCAATCGCTCCTATACAAAAAAATAACAATTACTATAACACTTTACAGTATACAAGAATGCTCCACTACCTTTCTTCATATTTCTTTACATAGTACATCACTTTACTGTAATAGTTTTGATAGGTCCTCTCATCTAAATGGACATGAACCACATTACCATTCCTCCACCTAAAACACCATACAGTCTTATGTACACCAAAATACATACAATTACTTTAAATGTACAAAGTCTTTACAATACTGAGCTCCAACTAGCTTGCTTTGCTCTACCTACAAAAAATTAATTTGTATAATAATAATAATAATTATTATTATTATTTTATTATTATCATTATTATTATTATTTACCATTTGCACATCATTATATTTATTATTAGTAGTAGTAGACTCATGGGCTGGTGATGATGTACGTAAGACTCCCTCACAATGCTGGAATGCTAACTTGTTCACAAGATCAGAGAATAGCAATGAATTAGCCTTCAAACCATGAGCCTATAAAATATGATGAATATATTAACTATGTATGTACATGTACATGTATATACATACAAAAATACTCTGATTTTTTTGCTTTAATTTTAGTTTTTTTAAATATTAAAATTTAGATTTTTTAATGCAACTATAACTCTATCTCACATCAATCCACTGTATTGATGACATATATTCTTCTTTGCAAGGTTTAGGCAGTGGGTGCTTATCGCTCCTTCCAACTGTCTGCTTCTCCAACTGTATCAACTGTATCTCTGCTAAAGTGTCACGCCCCCTCTCAAGCTCCTCCCACACGAGGAGGACATCATCTCGGGGGAGGGACGGTGGAGTCCTAAAAAAAGAAAATTTATATTTGAATTTTTTGCGGGCTAACTTTGTTCTTGAGGAAGTGCTGTTAGTAGAACTGGCAGCGGATGATGGACGTGAAGAGACTGGAGCAATGGGATCATATACTGGAGACTTTGGATTATACACATGTAACCTGTGAAAGAGAAGGAGAGAGAGAGGGGGGGAGAGAGAGAAAGAGAGAAAGAAAGAGAAGGAGGGAGGGAAGAGAAAAAGAGGAGAAAAAGAGGAGAGAACAAACAATCATAGTTCATATAGGACAATAATTATATATTCCTTGCCTTCCATTGCATACTCTACACAGTTCCTTATAATCATCCAGTGCTCCAGGATCAGTGCACTCATACACACTAATATTAACTGGTACATGTGACAACTGGAGCATGTTAAACAAAGAAGAATAGCTTCTTAATGCAGAGCGACCTTGAGTTAATATGTATACTGCATCATTCTAGAGGGAAAAGAGAAAAATAAAATACTTATAATAAAATTAACACCATTTATATTTAATGATAATACTAATAGTGTAACTCACACTTGCATTTATTAGTACTACCAATATTTAATGTTGTAACTCACTCCTTCACAGGCAATCGCTCTAGTGACAGCCTCTATGAGGTTATTAGTCATTGGTGCATTGAATGAACTGGAATGAGCCTCATCCAACCACTGGATCCCCTCCTGCACAACACCTGGCAACACCTTTAACAAGTTATCGGCAAAACTAGTCAGACCTCCGGTACACCTGCAAGTCACATGACAAAGAATATATATAATTATACATACATGTAAAAATGTTTGTATATACGTATAGTTATGACACATAAGCACATGTAGATTAAGGCCCTATTTAGTATTTACACTAATCCACTTCACTGAATCCTGACTGTTTTTGCTATTATTCGTTTCAGGTGTTTACACTAATCCAGCAGCTGCATTTTCATAAGATTCATCATTCGTTTATTTCAGATAGGCGATGCATTTTCATGTATTAGTGTAAACAGAAGTTGTATCAGAATCAAAAAGTCTCCGTTTACATGTGAAAATGGATTAGTGTAAACGGGGTCTAATTGTATTGCAAATAAAAGTATGTAAATTACCTTATAATGTTGAATTTAACGATTGCTGAGACTTGCTCTTTGAGGAATAATTTCACAGCATCAAGGAACGAGGTCAGCTGATTTGCATCAGATAATGATGAGTCTATTATTATTATAGCATGTGAATAGAACTAATACACCTAGCAATAGGCGACTGGAGAGAAAGGAAAAGAGATAGGGAAGAGGGAAAGATGATACATGTGCATGAAGTAAAAGTTTATAATAAATAGACAGTAGAATCTCCCAATAACAAAAGTTTATAGCACACAAAATTCTTTGAAAAATAAGCAAAGACACATTATAGAGATTTTCTAAAAAGAAGTTTGTTATTTGGGATTTCAATTGCAAGCATCATAAATGGGCACAAAACACTGATTTTGATTCAGTAACACTGATATTGATTTTGCATTACCTGCTAGAGTTAAGCCACTGGAGCCTTGACTTCAAGAGACTCACAAACTGGTTCAACTGTTGCTCAATACGCAATAACTGGGCATCATTAGCACAAACCTAAATATAGAAATAAACAATTAAAACCAAACAAAAATGTACATAATAACTTAACAGTGCAAAGCAATAAAGTGATAATTAGTAATAAAATGCAAAAACTTTACTAACAAAATGCAGCAAGGACTTGTATACCCAAACAATATAAAGTATCAAAGCCCTACTTCTTTCAGAGTTTTCATTTTAAGTTATATTAAGTTAAAGGTATCTCACATTGTACAAGTTTCCTCTTGAATCAGGATACTGGACAAACAATCCTTCGCTGTACAGAGATGTCACTTTATCAGAGCTTGTTGGAACAGAACCTGCAAAATAAATATAACAATACTAAATCACATACCAACTGATTTTAAAGTATAATGCATAGTATATACAGTAATAATGAAATCTGACCTGTCTTCTGTTTGAAACCAAGTGTTGGTAGGAGTTGATCCATTGAAAGTGATTGGCTCTCCAGCCCATGACTCTGTGTATGAATTCAAATATTGTCATATCTATTTCATAGAGCATCAAAGCATGCTCACCTGCAGCCATGTTGCAGAAGACTGCTGGACACAAGCCTCTGGTCTCCATTTCTCCTCCTCAGCCATTCTCAAGAGAGAGAGAGAGAACTGTGTCAAATTTTCAGAGGTGTGCAAATTGAAATTTTGGGTGGGGCTGAAAGTTCGCCCACGCATACCAATTATGGTTACACCCACTAATACTATTTAGTCTGTGTGCTTTTTACGTCTTATTCTTCTTCTTTATTAGTGACATCATAAATATTTGACACTTGAAAGTCAATTTGAGCCTCATTTTTTTCTTTTCTTCTTCCAGTTCTAGCGAGCTTTCAGGCAAGTTCCATTCACATGTAAATAGGCGTGGTCGCTTTTAATTAAGCCACGCCCATAAGAGGGTAGGCGTGGTTTTGATAATAAACAAAAAAGAAGAGAAAATGGTATACCAGATATTATATCAAAATGCTACAGTCTTTCTCTCTCTTTTTGTTTCCAGGGTGCCAATGGCTCGACTCTAGAGAGACTAGAGCAACTGCCAGAAGATGAGAGATACAATGGCCTAACTAATGTAACACATAATCTACACCAGTTACAATAACATTTGATTGTGTGTTTCCACTCTAGTTTGGTAATACCTGCTATGCCAATTCAGTCCTACAGGCTCTTTATTTCTGTCTCCCGTTCCGAGAGAAGGTATTGCAGTATTCTCACGGAGAAGAGAAGACCGAGACGCTTCTTTCTGCTCTCTCTGATCTCTTCATTCAAATGAGTAGTTCTAAGAAGAAGTTTGGGGTCGTGGCCCCGCGTAAATTTATTCAAAGAGTAAAGAAAGAGAATGGTAATGGAAAGGGAGAGTATGGGGAACTACAAGAGAGAGAGAGGGAGAATTGAAATTGTATTGTTGTACCATTGATGGTTGTACCAATAGTATACACTAACATTTAACACCTTACCATAAGCTGGTTTTAAAAATTCATAAAAAATCTAAATTTGATCGGAATCAGTTCAAACTTTTTACACAACATAAGTACATGTATATATATCAGAAAAAATTAGAAAAATTGAGAATTCTCAACTTGTCATTTTTGGTGAAATTTGGCTCGTGACCCTGTACTATAGTACAGGACTTTTGTTCGATTTTGGAGCAACTTTAAAAATGTGTAAAAAAATTCAAATTTGATTGGAATGAGCTCAAACTTTCTACACGACATAAGTACATGTATATGTATCAGAAAAATTATAAAAATTGAGGATTCTCCAATTTTAATTTTTGGTGAGATTTTGCGGTGACCCTGTACTATAGTACAGGGACTTTTGTCCGATTTTTGGACAACTTAAAAAATTTGTAAAAATCCAAATTTGATTGGAATGAGCTCAAACTTTTTACGCAACATAAGTACATGTATATGTACAATGTATCAGAAAAATTATAAAAATTTAGGATTCTCTCTTAGCCATTTGTTATAGAACACCCTGTACTATAGTACAGGAACTTTTGCCAGTAACTTAAAGTACATATATGTATTATTATCCTTATGTTTATAAAGATTTTTTGTAAGTTTTGTTCCTTTTCATAGTTGTGTTTGATAATATGCAGCAACAAGATGCCCATGAGTTCTTGAATTACCTACTAAATACAATAGCAGATTTATTAAAAGGTACAATGTACACACATACATGTACATGTACATGCATTATAACTGGTTCATTATTTCTGTAGCTCAAATGCCTGAATCATCAGAAGACACGAACACTTGGATCCATGATATATTCCAAGGTGTACTAGTTAATGAGACAAAGTGCCTCTCCTGTGAGACAGTAAGAAGCAAACAAGAAGATTTCTTAGATCTCTCAGTTGATATTGAACAGAATTCATCCATCACTCACTGCCTGAAGTAAGTGGAAGAATGAACCAAGAAGAAATGGGCAACAATATACTTGCATTCTTGCAATTTTTATTAATTATCAAATTTAATGATTATTATACTAATTTAATTAATAATATTTTTTGTTTCTCACCCTTCTCCTTCTCCTCCCCCTCTCTCTCTTTCTCTCCCTCCCTCTCTCTCTTTCTCTCTCTCCCTCTCTCTTTCCATAGGATGTTCAGTGGTAGTGAAACCCTATCCTCAGAATATAAGTATTACTGTGAGCAGTGCTGCAGTAAGCAAGAAGCAACCAAGAGGCTTAGAATAAAGAAGCTCCCGACGATACTTGCGCTCCATCTCAAGAGGTTCAAGTTTATGGAGCAACTCCACAGACACACAAAGCTCTCTCACCGAGTGGTGTTTCCATGGGAACTGAAGCTATTCAATACAGTAAGAGACAGAAGAAGTACTGTATACGTGTAGCTAGGAAATTTGGGCAAATTGAGCTTTTTTTGTTCAATCGTTTTGTATGCAAGCACATAATCAAAAATTTTAACTGCCAAATATCTTTTGGAGTCAATTAGCTTTTTTAGTAAGCAGCCCTGCATTTTGAAACTACATGTATTGCTTTATCCATGTACAGTACATTTACTACTTCAGTTATTATTATTGTATATTTTTCTGTTAGTCGGATGATGCTAGTGATCCTGACAGAATGTATGACCTAATCGGTGTGGTGATACACTGTGGAACGTAAGTACTCTTATTTTGGGTGTGGCTTATTAAGTACTGCTCCTCCCCTCTCCAGTGGTCCTAACAGAGGTCATTATATATCAGTTATTAAGAGTCATGGCTACTGGCTA